TAAACAAGGTCAAGTTGATATATCAGGAAAATAGGTATAAACAGGCAAGCCAACAGTGGAGATACTGTGTTCATCATTGAGGTTTAAACAGTGAGTATTCAGACAAATGTTATTACCTCTGTCTCTTACAACAGTGTACAATTAATCCCTCAAGGAAATACCTGAAAACCTCAATTATAGTTGTAGTGTAACATCGCACAAAACACTTGGAGAAAAAAGTTCCCTCTCCAACATTTTCACACTGGCTATTAGCCAGCTTTCCTCCACACTGTTTTCATTCAGACTATGTAGAAGTTCTTTGTGCGTGGCTAGTGTGTCACATCCCACAGCCCTGGAGAGAGAGGTGCACACATTTGCCCCAGTCAGCCTCACACCTACAGGTGAAGAAGGCTGTGGCTTACGATAAGCATGTGGATGCTCTTCTGCTTTCTCTTGGGCTGCCGGTTAACTTGTGAGAGAAGACACTGCTTAGCGTGACAAAGGCTATGCACAGAGGTACCGGGAGGGGTCACTCCAGGTGTGGAGATGCAGAGTGCAGGGCTGTGTCTGGATCTTTTGTCAATCCTTCAACTGCATCTTTCAACAAATAATCTTCTTTGGGAAATAATATTGTCCTGAAGATGATTGGTGCAACTTCAGGGTGAAATTAACACCATATCTTGGCTTTTAGCCCTGTGTCACAGCTCTGTGCACATTCAGATTACCAATACAAACATTTGTGAGGTCAAATTGTAACAAAGATCACAGAAATAATCCATGTTAAAACAACTCAAAAAAGTCTTTATATCTACACTTTCAAACACTAAACGATTTATTTCGAAACAGCACGTCTGAGCCCAAAGGACTTTACAAAGAGGAACCCATTGACATTTCTGTGATTAAACATGACTGAGGAGGAAAAAAAAAACAAGCTGATGTGCTCTTCTCCACTCTCATCTGCTTCTACAGAGACATAATTGAGCCCTAAAGCTATTGTCCTTCTGACATCTTTAACTCATTAACAAGAAATTAACTCCCACTTTATTTGTGTCAGTACCATGCATGACCTCTTCTTGAAACAGGCAGCTCTTGAAAAACAAGGCATTGTATTCTCATTTTGAACTTGACTAGGAAATGGATTTTTCTAAACACCAATTAATTTGTTTCAATTTATATTTGTTTTACTGGACAATGCCAATAACAGATCGAGACACATCTACTACGATAGTGTGGTGCACAGTAACAAAACACATGGGGTTTGCCTGCATTTAAAACAGACATCCTCCAAGAAGCAAACATATTAGCACCAATGCTCAGTTTTGTAAAGTGAGGCCTTGTACAGATTGAATATACCAGTTCTTTTCATTGGGTGGCTTGTTTGTTCTCATCACAAAGAAAATCCTGCTGGTTCAAAGAATCACAGAGCAGAGTCGAAAGACATTTGAAGTATGAGCCAAACCTGAAAAAAAAGTTGAGATTCGTAAGTATGCACACACATAATCTCTCCCCAACTAATTTTTCCCATTCCCCTGAAAGTTTTGACAACAGGAAGAATCATAAGGATATATTTAAAGTATTAGCATAATTTCCACATACAATTTTGCCTGTCAATTTTAACTTACCTTGCACAAAGAACTTACATTTAGACTACTCCAGCCTCTTAAAATTCCCTCTTCTCCTGCTCTTTAACCCTGAACGCCTCAAGCATTCTATGAGCCTTCATTTCCTTCCAAAAACACATGCAGAAATACCTACATAATGGTGCCACAGGGCTGCACAAAATGTGCGGGTCAGTCTGTAAATTATCTCTAGCCAAATGTAGCATATGAGACATATTTGACAGCAGTGACCCAGGGTAAAATTTCCATGAGCTTACGGAGAAGAGAGTTATACATCATCTTTACAAGATTCAGACAGCTGCATTTTCCCCGTGTAATATCTGTATCAAAAAGATGAAAACCATAATCTTAGTAACTGTTTTGAAAATGGTTTTAACCATTACATAGGCAGGCCCATTATCCTGAAGCCATTTATAATACTACTTTCTCAGCAATGTGTTTATGAACATCTTTATGTAACTCATCACGTTTATGAATGAATATAGGCTCATAATGTTCTTCTGATGCAAGGGAGTACTTTCATCTGTGTTTTATAAATGGGGAACTGAACCACAGAGATGAAACAACACGCAGGTAAGGGAACATTAGCACTTTCTGAACGATGTCTTTGGAAGAGGTGTGATTTACCAGCTTTACTCCCCTTACTTATGCCAACTTATGGTTAGAATGCAGCTAAGGGGTTTCAGTCACTCCTGTACTATAGGAATACTGGATTTGATCATACCCTTGGTACAAACACACACCAACAGGAAAGAAGCTGCAAAACTCATGTAAGAAGTAAACAAGTTGAGGAAATCTGTAATTTATATTGATAGAATTGGGGGGAAAAATGAGTTTAGTATTATGTTCTGATGTTCTTGAGATTTAATCTGTGCTTCTGAGAAACCACACGGGTTTCACAGAGTCAGGCAAAGGGCGACATGATGATAAGACCCAACAAAGACAAACTCTGTCATTTAAAGTCGAAGACGTTTAAAGTCTATGTTAACTGCCTTGCTATTTCGATGCCCTGCACCCTGGCACACACACACATACTCCCACCCCAAGAGCCATTAGGCTGTAAAAAGCTGCTCAGTTTTATTGCACTTACCCAAAAGCAGTGTCTTTCAATTTTGCCTTGCAGAAAAATCAAACAGAAATCAAAAGAGATCAGGAAATCATTATTTTTATTCCAACAAAAACACATTAAAGAAAAAAAAAGTTCATCTCTGAGATTTACTGCTAAAGTTTTAAACAGAGGTTAGCATTTCAAAACAATCTTCGGTAAACTGATTTTACATGAAGATTTCTAAGAAAATGTTCTGTCAAAATAAATTGCCTACTAATAAACCTTAGCAAAAATCAAACGTTAAAGAAATTACAGGACAATGAAGAAAATAAATAGGCTTTGATTCAAATAGTGTGGCAAATTCCTAGTAATCGCTGCTAAGTAAGCAAGCTCACTTTGCACATAGTATTCCTGTGGTAATCCTAGACTCCTCAGGGCTCACTACAGCAACTGCATCTTTATCATAATTTTTAATTAAATACGGTTGTAAAAATAGATAGATGTTTTAAAGAATCAAAAAGGAAACGTCGGGTTTTAAAATTATTTATCTATCATTTGTGCTTCTGGAATTTTCGTCCTGAAAGGCAAAATGGTGAAACAGTAATTCACACAAGACAAATGTGATAGAGTGCACTGAAACTGAAAAGTGGGATTATTCAAGGCATGCAAAAGTTTAAACCATGCTTAAGGCCCTAGATTTCAGCGACAAATCCTGCTCTTTTGCCTTGGAAGGAGTGGAACCGTTCATGTGAATGATGTAAGTGTGCTGTAAACACTGGGCAGCTTTCATTGACAAGGTGTTCAAATATCAACTACTAATTATTATTTACAATCATTAACCTAAATCAAAGTTGATAGAAATGACCACCGCTTCAATTTGCAAGTCTTATTATTCTTAAATTGTCCCAGGATGCTGAGGATGGTAAGTGTTTCAAAGTCGTTTGCATGTGTGTATGCAGAAGGTATGGTGGGAAGAGATAACATCAGTTTTGGGGAGTAAATCATTAGAGGAGCAATGAATTGCTTTGGGACATTAGTCCAATAGAGAAAAGCTACTCCCTGCTCATTATGCCTCTTAAATAGGCGCTCTTTCCCAATTGAAGTCCAAGGGCAAAACCAAAAAAGCGACAGGATGGTTACACTAGCTCCATCTCTGATCAAGTTTCCAGAGTCCAGCAAATAAACCTGAATTGCGTTTTCTGTACGTATAGCCCATGTGCCTTCTTCCTTGTGTTCCTTCTACTGTTAATCTAAACTGCTGGTTTGACACAGTCATGTGACAACCCTGATCTTCATTTAGCAGAAATTTAGTAGAAACTGGTCTGTTTGTGAGTGCGGAAGCAATCTTTGGAAAAGTGAAACCAGAAAATAAAAGCATTATCAAGAATCCAGGTGCAAACCAAGTGAAGCCAAAAGGCACAGGACTAACTCAGTTGTTAGAAGAAACGTTTGTGGTGAGGTTAACCAGTAATTTCCAAAAGGCAGAGATCTGACATTATTGCAAATGACATACGCCCTTTGAGGCATGCAAATGTCCAGGAGGGTAACAGGTTTCATTGCGTGTTTCCACATAAACTTGCCCCAGTTTAGAGACATTTGTTTAGTTAAAGCAAGGCAAATTCTGGCACATAATATCTTTTTGATTTAGATTAGGTCACAACAGACTAGGTTCAAAATTCCTTTTCCCATCCCCAAAGACAATAATATTAGAACCCTAATATTGTCAAGCTAAAATAAACCAATCTTGCAAATATTGCATGTAATATAAAAAATATACTCTAAACCAAAAAGCCATATAGAAATTATTATAACAGAGTCCGGTTTAAAATATTACCTTTCAGATCAATACCTGATATATTCTAGGTATTATAGTATGTTGACCATATAGTTCTATATTTATGTCACTAACCAGATCTGAGTCATGGCAATGATATTACATTTTAAGACAAGAGAAGAGGGAAAAGAGCAAAAAGAAAAAGAGGCCTTCATGTAGGAAATTCGATTTACCTTAACTCTGTTGCCCCTAGAGACCACTTCAGAGCAGGTCCGGTGATAAATCCACCACCCAATGCCATTGCAAATTGCTGGGTTAATGAAGAGAGGTCAAGTAGGGAAATGGGAGGCGAGAGTAGAAAGGTGTTGATTGTCTGTAAATGACTTGCTGCAGGGACTACACTGTTAAAGCTGAGAGAGTAAAGTACACCATTTTTTTTCTTGGATGATAAGCAGAGGATTGGCTTTACTTTCATTTCTATATTTCACCAAAACTTCCCTGTCAAACTAATTCTTTTTTGTGTACCTAGCAGTGTAAAGTTATAGTGGAAGAATTTCATGAACAAATAAAGGAATGAAATATGGGCAGACCAGAGAGAACAAATATGAAGCTTTTGAGGTAAGAAAAAATATATATAAAAAAAATAGTAAAAGTGCAGTCTTTAAAATGTTTGCTAAGGCTTAGGAAAAAAAAAAAATAAGTCTATCAATTTTGTTTAGTAAATTCTTGTATTTTGTACCTTTCACGCTCCTTTCTTTAGTAGTTACTTAAAACTGGAGGGATTCATTCTCCCAGAATGTACCTAGTACATAGACAATGGCTTACTTCCCTTCCCCTTATATGTTCCAAAATTATAGTTATGATTACATTTCAGTAACTTCATGCTATCATTTAATACGAGGGGTTTTTTTGTGAATTCAGTATTCACATATCTTTATCTTTGCATTGCAGATTTCTTTTCAGTATGTCACTACCTTTACAAGTACTGCAGTTTGAAACTGGTAAGGCATAACCTTAATTTCTTGGGGTTTTTTTAATGTCCTATTGAGCAAAGAAAATACTGAAAACTCTTCCCTCCGCCTCCTGTAAATAACTAAAAATAAAATAGCTACTGTCTTGTGGAAGATTTCAGAAATCTTCATGCATCAATGGAGTTACTGTTGTGTGTGACATTACCCTAATGTTTGTCGGTTTAGGATTTTCTGCAATGTTGCTTTCTTTGGCTTCTTCAGTGAGCCAGGCTCCGTTGCATGATAAAGGATGTAAGACCTCCACACAGAGTTTCAGAGTGAGCAGGAGCTGGTTATACGGTCTACCTGTTGCCTGTTCAGGACCCACAGTATGTGCTCTGATCCTATTTTACTCTTCATGCAATTAAAAAAACAGCATTCCAAATATTTCAGTGTTTTTTAATTTACCATTCCACCACCTCCTGAACCCATGTAACAACACTAGATTAAACTGTGAAGCAGAAGGAGAAATAGCTAACATAAGATATAAAACATACATTAGTTTCTCTATCACTTTCTAAAATTACAGCTTTGTCTGTCATTACTTTAACAAGAAATAATTTTATGCTGTCAATTTTTCTGAGTAGTGTCATATGTCAATTCTGTGTTTTAGTTGCTCCCAGGAATGTCACTATGTTTGTTTAATTTATATATTTAAAGGGTGCGAAGAGGAAAACTGTAATAGTTCCCCAAACCAGGAAAATCGGAGCACATCTTTAAACATTTTTAAGGAAATTAATAACCTCAATTCAAAGAGGAAAGGGATAAACCCTTCTGACACCTTACCTTTCATTGGGTTAACACATGGTAAGTTGCCCATCACATGAGTATATAGGTGATTTTCGTTTTTCCCCCAGGATGTGAAGGTTACATAATAGTCTGTTTTCCAGAGGATGCTTTCTGTTACCATCTTTTAAATGCACAATCAAATGCACAAAAGACGTTGGTACATACTGATAGCTATATCAGTTAAAAACTTTGTCTGTTTTTTCTTCATCTGTAAATCCCTGCGTGTTAGTGAAAAGATGCAGACTCTGTGCAAAGGACCTTTACACCACAGTGTGGTTTGTTTTGCAAATAGCAGGGTATCCTTGAACCTCTGACACCTGGTAAGCATTCAGCCAGCCATCAGCAACACAGTTAGCAAGTCCTTTCATGAACACTCTTCTGTGCTTCTGAAGACGTCACAAGTGCCTGCTAAAATATCATAGAATGGTTTAGGTTGGAAGGAACCTTAAAGATCATCTAGTCCCACCCCCCCTGCCATGGGCAGGGACACCTCCCACTGGACCAGGTTGCTCAAAGTCCCATCCAGCCTGGCCTTGAACTCCCCCAGTAATGCCACCTCAACAACTTCCCTGGGCAACCTGTTCCAGTGCCTCACCAACCTCAAAGTGAAAAATTTCTTCTTCATGTTTTAATCTAAACCTGCCCTCTTCCAGTTTGAAGCCATTCCCCTTCATCCTATCACTACATGCCCTTGCAAAATGTCGTTCCTCAGCTCTCCTGTAGACCCCCTTAAGGTACTAGAAGGCCACAATAAGGTTTCCCTGGAGCCTTCTCTTCTCCACAGTGAAGTACTTGAAATATATCGGTCTTGTGGAGAAATGGGAAGTGCCGCATCATCCTTTTTATTAGTTTTGTTCATAGGTGCAGAAAGCTAGAAAGGGCTGATAATTTTGTTTAAAAAAAAAGGAAGATGACATAGAGATAAGTTCAGAATTTTGTGCCAAATTCTCCCCCCTTCAGAGGTGATGCAGCAACTTCAGGTTGTATGGCAAACTAAACACTGGATGGTACCTGACCAGAAAATGACTTTTCACCTCATGCTCCCAAATTCGAGATGTGAGGGCAGTTTCAAGCTCAAGAAGCCAGGATGTAAAGAAATCCCTGTGTTTCATACACAGGGCCCAAAAGGCAAATCTCAGACACCCATTCAGTCCCTTGGGACACGCGTCAGCAGCACTGGTTATTGCCACCTGTAAATTCTCTTCTTCCCCTCACCCGGGGAGAAGAGCATTTCTAAAATTCTAAATTTTTAATTCAGAATTTCTAGAGGAAGAAAGAAAATGGCAGTAATAGAGATGCCTCCCTTAGCCTGCTCTCAGTGCTATTAACAAAGCTGAAGTGCTTTATTTGCCATGGGAATATGAAGGGTTCTGTGCTGAAAGCTGTTGCCCTGATTGAGAGAGAGCTATTTCCTTTTATGTTTCCTAACATTTCCCCCAGCTCCCATGGAGAATATAAAGAGCTGATACTTTTATACTTGATGTAAGATGTGTGTTACCAGCTTCAACTGCAGCTATATGTGCAGTGCCTGCTCACTAGATATATATGACACTTGTCTCTCTTTGCTATCTGGAAGCATTTTCCAGAACATCTCTGAAAATACACACTAGTAAAGAGAGTTTTCTTCTTCGTGCCACCTTCTTACCCAGTCCTTTTTACTAAGAATCCAGACCTGTCTAGCCCAGAAATAGTTAATTGAAAGTTGTAGTCACCTGTTTGGACACCAGAGTATGCATGTCGTTTCCAGACTTGGTAGCCAGAAAACTGGATCAAAGTAACCCTTGCTGTGTTTTTGAAGAACATATGAAAGGTCAGGTCCTCAACTGAGTGCCTCTACAAACGTTAATCTCTCAATAAGCACAGGAATAAAAACAAAAGCCTGAAGGCAATTGTATCTGTTACTGAAAGAGTAATTAAAACTTATGAGGATGCTGCTTAATTTAGTCTTTGACCTTTTGAATCTGCTAACAAGCTGGGATAAATGTGTAGAGTCTTTGCAATAGGCAAACAAAGCAAATTTTGAAAGCATCAGGCTTAAACTGTGGGCCTGGCTGTTTGCAGCTAAAGTGGGTACCTTATTTGCTGAACAAGTTTCCTACAATAACTTCTTATTTCTCACTGTAGCCCATAAGATGAACAGGAACTGCTGCCAAAATGGAGGAACCTGTTTCCTGGGGACTTTCTGCATCTGTCCAAAGTATTTTACTGGTAGACACTGTGAACATGATAAACGTATCAGGTGAGCAAAGCATGGAGTGGATTTTTTTTCCCAGAAATAGTAACAAGCTTACTTTAAAGACATGTGGTTTCACTTCCTAGGCTTTTTTTTTAATTATTTTTCCTCTTATTTCCTAACATCACAGATTCTGTGGCATCATGAGGCATGGGGAATGGACCAAGGACGGCTGCCTCCTCTGCCAGTGTGTCCATGGGGTCCTTCACTGTCTTCCTCATGGTCTTAGAGATGGCTGTGGTAAGAGACACAGGATGCCCTGTATGATGGGAGTCCTTAAACCAGCACCCAGCTATCCATTCCTCTTATTCATGTGTCTGAGTTTCGCTGAGTCAAGTCACCTGCCTAAAACAATGGCAAACTCTTTGTGGAAATCCCTTTCAGCTGCATCAAAGTGTTAAATGTGCTTATGCATCTAGTGATGCTTCTCCCGACCATAACCAGGTTCATGACCAGGATCACCAATGTGACAGAAAGTCACAATTGCTACAAAAGTGGCACTTAACTCTTCTCACAGAAAAGAGGGTGGATGTGGCTTGGAGCAAATTGGAAGGGGACAGATGGGTTTTGGGCTTGTTGGGTGTGGGTGGCAGAAAGCTTCTTGAGGATGTGAGGACAGGCTATGCTAGCCAGCTTCAGTCCTATCAAAGACCAACCTGTCACTAGTTACCTTAGGTTTTACCAGCTGCCAAATCTTTTCTACATTAAGAAGAATGACATTTGACCCATCACAGTAGTGGAGAGACTCCTGAAAAATAAGTGTGGTCTCTTCTGCCCAACAATGGTTCCTTTAGACCCACATTTGAGGCAGGGCATTGCTTATATAGTTTCTATTTATGGTGTTAGCTTCAGAAAGTAGAGGTTTGGGCGTTTGTTAGTGGGTTGTTTGTTTGGCCTTTTTTTTTTTTTTTTCCACATTAAATTCAATGTGAAGCTTGAAAGGTTTGGATAAAGAATATCTGGGTTTTGTAGGTTTGTCCAAACTGTGAAGCTTAGACTTTGTGGGAAAGTAAATGGAGAACACTTCAATTTGCTTACTTTCAGTGGTAAGCAATTCTAATTTATCTGACCCACCAGAAACCTAAGAAGGTATCTGACAAGTAGATGTGTGTGTGCATGCATACACATATACATAAGAAAAAAAAAATATGTACATATGCAGAGATATGAATACACAGCTGTATTTATCTATGTGCATAATGTATGTGTATACACAATATATTAAAATACAAAAACACTGGCTTTCTATATCCAGACGAGGTGATATTAATCAAATTTGATTCATGTGCAACTATGGTAAACTTCTTTCAGAGGCTCTTCAAACAAAAGTCTTCTAAATGCATGAACTTATCTATGTTTATGTGTAACAAAAAAGAGGGCTCTTCTTTGTTAAACATTTACCATGTTAAGCTATTAATGCTAGAATTAAGCAAACAGAAAAGGACAACATTCTGATTACCAAATTTACTAATTTACTTAATGGTTTTACCAGGTTAATTGGATTTTGTTAATCTCTTTAGAATGAATTTTTCTATCTGTGTTCCCTCGAGGACTTTCCTTGCAAAGAAAGAAAAAGCCTGAGAGCTTTAATTCTCTGACATTTTTGTTTCATGTTAAAACAAATTTCTGAGTCTCTAGAGGGAACATTACCTCCAGCTACTTACTCCATATGCACTTGCAAAGAAAAATATGGCAGTACTTAAAAAGCAACATTCTGGTGAATATCTGAAATTTACATATGAATACTCAGATATTTTCTCTCCTAAGCACCATAAAATCTCATCAGTCATTTCTTAAACGTTCTGAGCGCTGCTGTTTGCTGCTTTTTCAAAACTGTGAACACTGTGTTTAAGTACCCTCCATCACTGCCTGTTCAGCTGAAGTAGCTCCTGGGAAGGCTGAAAGGAAGTAGTTTAGAGCAATAAAGAACTTGAAACAACCCAGGCAAATCATTCTTGTTTCTGCTTAATTTAAAGCTATTTAAATGGAAGTTTTTCGTTTGTTCAGGTCTCACAAAAGAAAATCCTCCTGACTGGATGCAGGTTGGAGCCAGGTCTGAAGGACCGAGCCTTCAGCGTAAAGCCTACCTCCTTACTGCGCCAACCCTGTTCCCACTGCTTTGGCAGCTTCTCTAAGGAGCGTCAGAAAAGAACAAAACAGCGGTAGCTTGACTGACAAAACAGTTCACACATGGAACTCCAAGTAGCTGGCAGCTCCAGACCGGACTGATTATCTGCCTGTGGTGGGAGGATTGCAGGCCACCTCCATGTCCACTTTCCCCACAGCTGCACGAATGGAAAGGCTACTGCACTCGAGGGGTGGCTCATTTCCTGGAAACTGAAAGAAAGTTGCAAAAAGCCCCCACTTCTCTGTCTCTTGAAATGGCCTTATTACATCCAACAATTGACATATTGTTTAGTATTGAAAGATCCGTGCTCAGTGGAAGAAAAAAACTTCTTCATATACTTGTTACCTAATTTTATAATTTATTGTTAATTGTTTGCCTATTTCAGCTACTGAAAATATAAATGTAAAACTGTTTTCATGGTGTTATGTGTAAAGTTGTTGGGAGGGTGAGGTTTTATGGGGGATTTTTGGTTTTGGGGTTTTTTTTGAAGAGAAAGTTTTCTCTTGAATCATAGTTATAAAAGTTTGTATCTCGAATATTTATGGGGGGTTAGGTGTGAATTTCACCTTTCTAGTTTCTATTGCCATGTGTAAATAAACTTTTATTTCAAAACTAATTCAAACACTTAGCATGTTCCATTTCTTAAAATGATAAGCATATGGTACTAATGCTTGTCAGAATTTTGAAACTGCATTTCCAACATGAAAATTATGTAGAAAACACGTTGTTTAACCAGGTAATACAGAGTAGAGAAATGTTGATATATCAAGTCTTCCTTTCAAAAACTAAAATAACATTATTGATTTTCTTTCCTTTAATATTTTTATCTTGGAGTCTTGTCTCAGTTATACTTTTTTTTATTATTTATTTCAGCAGAACTGGAAAATTCACATGAGAAGTATAACACCTTAAAATAAAGATGTCTTTATTTTCAGTGTGCACACTCAGGGCTTTTTCAGTTCTGACAAGTAACTAACTGATCAAACTGTTTCATAGAATCATAGCATCATAGAATGGTTTAGGTTGGAAAGGACCTTGAAGATCATAGAATTCCAACCTCCCTGCCATGAGCAGGAACACCTTCCTCTAGACCAGGTTGCCCAAGGCCACGTCCAGCCTGGCCTTGAACACCTCCAGGGATGGGGCTTCAACAACCTCTCTGGGCAACCTGTTCCAGTGCGTCTCCACCCTCATAGTGAAAAACTTCTTCCTAGTGTTTAATCTAAACTCTTCCAGTTTATAGCCATTCCCCCATTTACTTTCTACTTTAAAGAGTTTCATTTGAAACTAAAAATTGGGCAAGAAGAATCACAAAATTCAATCTCATTTCCACTTTTCATATGTGTTTTTCCTCTAGGGAAGGGTCTGGAACTCCTGCAGAGCGGATTTATAACTATGCCTATCACAACAGAGCTAGCGCATCATTGAAGCCAAATGCTAAAATATATGTTCAATGACGGTTTAGTGTCACTTATTTATTAAGCCTGATATCTTTAAAACTAGCACCAATTGAATGAAAAACTGATCTTTCTATTAATCTTAGGAAGCTGCTTATACATAGATCACTGCAATAGAATTCATAATACTAATATTTATCTAGAGGACACACAACATCCTTGGGTCCTGGTTGTTTCATTAATTCTCAACATATTCAGTGACCAATTTCTTTACTCCCAAGAGCAGGTTTTGTTGTTTTGGTTTGTTGGGTTTTGTTTTGTTTTGTTTTGTTTTGCTTTGTTTTGTTCTGTTTTTTTCCAGAGGGGAATGAAAGGAATAAGAGGTCTTCGACTGTCCTAACACAGTAAGTTCAGCTTAACCTTATGTGGTACCATATCTCACAATACACTTCTACACACAACATATGTTCCTACTCAGGTGGGATCTGTTGCACAAGCAATAGTTTCTCTTTCATAACTCTTTCCTTTCCTATGTTGGGAATTTTAGTCACGTAACTGCTCTTGTACAGACCACCAGTAACTTAGCCATTGCCTACAGGGAAATGGACTCAAGTACAGCTCCACAAGAGTAAGCATTTTACTCATAAGGTGGATCACAGAAATCTTCCTTAAAAACATGTTAGCTGATTATGATGGAGTTAGTGTAATGAAAGCAGGTAAAAAATGAATTGACCAACATTTTCTTCAAAGATTGTCTGATTCCCTAGACGGCCTAATAGTTTTTGTCTTTTCCTCCATTAGGGCAACCTGATTAAAATACTTTTATTCTTTCAAGAAAAGACAAATAAGTCATTAAGTGTTCAGAAACAGATCTTTTTTCCCACTCAGCCTAAGCTGTGACAAATAAATTCAATGTATACATGGGACAAGTTCTGTTTTCAGCCAACTTTTGAGAAGCAATATATACAGCTGCACTCAATTAAATCTGCAAACAATATCTGGCTCTACACCTCCCATCCACACCTACACAAACACGTAGCAATATCCACAATCTGATTGATCTAATCACTTATTGGCATTGCTCCAGGCTAAAAAAACACCCCGTAAGGTGTCCCATGAAACCCTAGCAGGCCATCCATGTCTTACCTTGCTGTAAGATAGCAAACGCTGACATGCAGTTAAGATAATAGCAGAAAGTTGTGTTAATCCTGTTTACCCCCCCTTTTTTTTTTCTACTAAGGTTTAAGCACTTAAAGGTATACATGTCATATACATTTTTTCTTATCCATGTACAAGTAAATGAAAATGAGAAAGCAAATAGAACACTAATTTTCCACTCAGGGTACATTAGATGTAAATGTGGGAAGAGCAGTTTGATGGAGTCCAGTTTGATTCTGATATCTCTCTCATCACAAAAGAGTCACAGCTACCAGAGAGAAAAAAATGCTGCTTGCCTTAGTCACAATTAAATTAGATTAAACACATTATCCCATTGCATATGTTAACCCATCATGGAAGTGATCATTAGTTTTTACCAAACAGCAGGGGTTGGGACAGGAGTGCACAAGATTAGGAAGTATCAGTCAAAAGACAGCAAATACTTGTACTTCTGCTTTTCTGATTAAATTTATTCATTGTAACTGGTACTTATTAACAATTCAATTACCCAGGTGACTTTTCTTATTCTTTCAAAACACAGCTTTTTTCTATTCATTACCTAACTTTAAGTATTAGTTATATTGAAATACAGAGGAGTTTTCAATTTCTCTTATTCTTAATTTTCTTCTCTCCACGCTTCTTTATGGAACTGTGAGAAAAGGCAAATTTCACTATACCAGTCATAATTAAAGTCTTTTCTCCTCAGCTGTAAACAACTGGCCCCATCCTCCTTCTTGCTCAGGGAAGCACTGAGCCCATTTTACCTGTGCAGCTTGTCATGCTTCTGCACAGGGCTAGACAAACGACAGGCTCAGATCTGGATTTGGACCACAAACACATCTGTGTGTGCCTTGCCAACAACCCAGATGTGTGCCAACTCCTGCGTTCTCTAGAGGAGCTGTTGCAGCACATTGCCATAGTTTTGGGCCACAAAGGTATCCTGAAGCACCTGGTTTGCTCAGCGAGCCTGGAACAGACACACCGCTAAATTGATCTTGGTAAAATTTTAGCCTTAGGGAGACACTAAATAGCCCTGCTGGGAGTCTTATCTGCTAAGACAGCATCAGAGACACAGTCTCTGGTTAGGAAGGCAGTGCTGGCAGCTGTACACAAGGTCTGTGTGCTGTTGGTGTAAGTAGAGAGTTTCCCTCTCCTGGAGGGAGATAGGAACAGCTGACAGGAAGCCCAAGGAAGCCACAAACGACCTGAATATTTTTTGAATATTTGAATATTTTAAATAATTAATTTTCTGGATGACTCAGGCCCTTCTCGTGATGTTATAAATATATGTATTTGTATGAGAACATACATTGGAGCTGTCACCAAGAAAGCTGTCAAGATAATGTCTCTCCTACCTGGCATACCACAAAACAGCAGAAATTTCAGTAAAAAAATAGTGTCACCATGGGGTAAAATCTGTGACACTTTTTTTCTGTGAAAAGGGGTCATGAACCGACAGGTCTTTGGTTTCTTGATGTCTTATGGACTTAACTTTGAAAGGAACCTGTGAAAGTCATTTGAGAAGCCACACTTAGAAGTGAGGTCTCCTATCAGATTTTTATTGTGCACTAGTTAACAGCTGACAAGTTTTGCAGCCCATCACATTTCAAACCCCCATCTTCTGCAAAGTCCAACTATGTGAAAAGGACACCTAATTCCCTGTGCTGGCATATACTAACTCTTTGTGGTTCCCTTTGCGTAGCTACATGTTTGATTTCAGGCTGTACTTGCACATAGTTGCAGCGAAGGTGAAGCAGGATACTGATTCTTAAGATCAGTCTAAAATCACAGCTCAGCCTCACAAAATTTCCATGTTCAAAACTCCATGCCCTTCAGCAGCACTTTCGCAAAACAAACAGTTGCAGGTTTAAACCCCAGTAAATGGTACTGTCATCATTATTTATACCATATCTGCACTGTTGGACACTGCGATAGCCAGAATGAACAGATGCTTAGGAAATTATTCAGTGGCATATGGCTGACCTTGCCATCTCATAGAAGGTTTTGAAACATTGCTTATATTTCTTTTTTATACAATTACAGAAAACTATTTTATGTTTGCTTGTGCTTGCTGACAATAAGGAGGGCAATAAATCTGGATTACAGAGGAACCTGAGTACAGCTCACAGCAAGAGTGTGGTTTAAATGGAACGTCTTATCATTTGACTTGAAATTACATTATTGTAACATTTTGGAGGCTTGAGTGAGCAATTATAGAAGTAATATTTCTGTAGCACTGCAGAAACATGAGTTCTTTCAGAAAAGTAAAGCAAAAACAAAACAGAAAAATGTTCCTAAAAATCTTGCCCTGAACATATTGCATATATTTTCAAACACCTCCTAAAATCTGCTATTTCTTAGGTCTGAATTGAGTCCTAAGCATCACCTTGCATGATACAGCAAGTTTGACCAGGCGAGAGAACAAGTTCAGCTTTAAACATGGACATCAACAGTGAAGAAAAATTACAAAATGTAGTACAAAAATCTGTTCAGAGTAATGGTATTAACCTATGTCACTGGTATGCAGTTTTTTGACACCCATCTTGTGTCTTTGTGGGCATGTGACAATGGATTACTTCTCAATCACAGAAATGCCACTATTTTTATATCAATTATCTTTGGCTGATGGCCTTTATCATTAGCCATTCATCATTTTTTCTGCTTTCCTGGCAGGCTTTGGTCACTCAGGTAAGCAGTAGGTACAGAGTTGTGGGACTTAGATCCCTAGTCACACAAGAGTAATTAACAGATTGAAACTAATAACAGTAATATTTCATATATAATGGGCTAAAATTTATTCACATAAACTGTGTGGATGTCTTCTTAAAAAACTAGCTACACTGTTGGCCACTTTTTCTTAGTCTCATTCCTTCCATCTGAAAACTAGCATATGCTGAGATGGTGATGAGTGAATATGAAATGTAAAGACTGCCAACTGTAGTGAGATCAAAGACCTTTTTCCCTGCCTGTAAATTGCCACCAGAAATCTACCGTCATACACTACAATGCTGCAAGACATGTGTTGGCATTTCTCTGGTCAAGAAGTTACATAACCTCATATTGGTTTTCAGCACCTGCACTATTTACAAGCATTTGAGTTCTCGCCGTCTGGGTCCCTGAGGACGGAGATGAAGTCTTATGACCTGTTAACCATGAGGGTTCGTTTCTGTTGTTGTGTTTTACTATAATTAAAACTGCCTGTTCAGTCATTTATAGTAAGTATGAAAACCCAGCTTGAAACAGAGGAGCAGGGAATGTAGACTTTCCAAGCCATGCATGGGCTACTCAGGGTACATAAATAAAACACAGACTTCACTTTTTTAACTTTCATAGCTTAGTTTTCCTCCATCCTGTTGCTCCCATTCTCTTCCATCCCTACCGCCCAGATGCCTGCCAGCATGTACACCTTTCTACGCTTGTTTCCAAATCCTAGAAACCCCTCTTCCGAAGAAAAGGAGGATGAGTGTTTCCTGCTTATGGTGGGAAGTGATACAGGACTTGGACTGGTCCAGGAAAACAACAAGAGATAGTTTCTTATTTTTTATAGTGTTCAGACCAAATTAATTGACAAGTTCAGATAGTACAACGCCGTTAAATCTGGACTGAACGAGGAATTTCACTCATAATAAAATATGATGTTGGGTCCAGCTAGTCCCACAGTTTTAGTGCTGGGTCTTTAAGAAGCCCTTCTTTACTTAGGAGAGGTCTGATGGAGATACATTTACAAAGAAGACCATGAAAAACAAAAAGTCATGCAGACAGGATCAATTGTACACTTGGGGATATTAGACAGATAAATAAATTGTCACAATACAAATGCAAACATGCTGATTTTGTCTGGAATTAAGTCAGGTCCTGTCAGGAATCTTTAAC